GCAGAGAAAAGGTCAACACAATTCTGTTAAGAATGTAATTGGCACAGTCATTTGGGTATGCATTCCTAAAGGTTTAAGAGATCTTTGCCTGTAACTTAAGAGGTTCAGCAGACTGCTAGCCCACAGATTCTGGTTTCCAGTTCAGCCTATACAACTGGGCAAATACAAGAATGGTGTGTATTTGCTGTCGAAACTACTCCCTCCAGCCCCACTTCTTTCAGAATCTGTGCCCTTTCAAATGTAAATCTCAGTGGCTGAGCCTGTTGCCAGCCTCAACACATTTCCATTGTCATCTTTGACATGTTAGCCCAATGGTAACTACTCAAATATTTATTGGAATAATATGGAGGTTGAAGAGTTAGGATATATTGAGAATATAGCAGTGTCCTGATAGGGTGGAATTCTAGGCCACTGTTGTCCAAAACAGTGCTAGTTAGAAGGGCCCCAATATAATTCTCCTAAGGAACAGTCAGGATCCCCTTAAACCCCTCTGCATGGGCAGAGTAGGCCTCACTTATGCCTAGGATCCTGCCCAGTTCTCCCCCTCCCTCAGTTCTCCAGAATTTTTTGAAATGTAAATGAAGGAATTGGCCCACTCACACTGCAGCACATTGCAGCAGCTGGTAGCCTGGAAGTTTTTGTAGGGCTGTCTGGCAGGGGAGAAGTCCAAGAAATCCAGTTGATGTTGCAGAGTCCAAAATTCAGAGTGGGCTGCAAGCTGTCTTGAGGCAGGATGCTAGTGAATTCCACAGTTTGTCAAAAAGAATTGAAACAAGTTCCTAGGATGCCTTCCTCAAACAGTGTAATTTTTTAACCAACTGCCAGACTGTTTTCAAATGTGGTGTATACTAAATATTTTTTAAAAGAATAAATCGGTGAAAGAATTAGAGATGAGGTCTTATAGGTGTGTGTGTTTGGTTGTATACATATGCAATATAGTGTATTTATATATTCTGTGTCTCTTATTTGTACCTCCACAAATAACAAAAGTGTAATTTTACTTTCAGTAAGTAGTATTATTAGAGACACTAATTATTCAAAGTACAATAAAGCATCCTAATTATATCTCCTCAAGGCAGAGCTAATATTTTATATAACTTAGGATTAACCATAGTTATATATAAAACTAATGTATATGATTTATAATGAAGTGTTCAGCCTAGTACCACAAATAATATATCTCAAGTTTGAAAACTGGTATATTCGCTAGTGTTAGTATGAATTTAAACATCCTTTGATGAGAGGTTCATTCTTAATTTACTTATGTTAAAATTGCACAGGCCGGCAGATATCCTGAGATTTATTTTCAGAGTTTTAATATCATATTGCCCTGAATAAAAATGATGATGTGAGTTTTTAATATGGTAGAGTGCCTGTACATTTCACTTTTGATCTTCAGTGAAATCTCATCTCACAAATCACTAGCATAAATTACAACTTGATCTTGTGTGTGACAGGCATAAATATTTTTATTGAGAAACATGAATGTTTTCCCTCCCCCCTTTATCCTGCATGTATCAACATATAAAGATAAACCTCTAGATATTTTCCTTTGTCTCACTTTGTTAGTGTTAGCTTTTTTTGTAGTGAGATCCTTCTACCCTCTCCTCCTTTGCATTCTTTTAGATTCATTTTCTCTATTTTATTAAATGTTTTTTCTATTTTGAAAAATTTGCACTGTAATTCTTTTTTTCTTTGATGCTTATTCTAAATTTTCACATACCTTCCTTCTAAATGATAGGATTTAGAAAACTTTAACTCTGGTCACTCCATCCCAACTTATATATGATTACTTTACAATGTTTTATATCTGCTATGTTTTGGGATCCAACTTTGTTAGATTTACAAACTTCTTGAGTATTTCCATTGCTTACCATTCCTTTTTACCCATTAGGCCTTCTTTTTTCTGGTGATTGTTTTATCCCTAATGTACATGTTTTAAATAGTAAAGATCTGTTAATAGTATACTATTAATTTTGTCTCCAAACATCCTTATTTCATTTTTTTCTCAAAAAAACATTTTGATAAGTTTATAATAATTCTAGATAATAATAATTAATATATAATATAATATATAATAATTAATATATAATATAATCTAGTCTTTTTCTCAACGTGTTTTGTCTTTCATTGTTCCAGTTGGGAAGTAGCTGACAGTTTTTTCTTAATGATATTGTATCATTTCACTTTAGCTTCATCTAAGATCTTCTCTTTTTCCTTAGAGTTCTGAAGTTTCATTGTAGTAGGTGATTTCATTTGTCCTGGCTAGGATTCTTTGAATTTTCTGTATATGAGGAATATTGTCTTTCAACAGTTCTAGAAAATTCATAGAAAGTTTCTTTTTAAATGTTGCCTCTGCCTCATTTTACCAACTCTTCCTATGAAACTCTGATTAATTATATTTTAAACCTTCCCATTTTCCCCCCATGTTTTAAAAATCTAACTTATTATTTTACATCTTAGTTTTTTTTCCTCTTTGACTTTAACCTTTAATGACTTCCCTTAATTTCTTTGGCACTTCAGTCATGAATTTTAAGAAGGCATTTTGTTGGTGATGATGTTGCTTATTTGTAATTTTGAAATGTTCTTTGTTATAAAAATTTCTCCAGACATCTAGTTTGCTATATTCCCTCCAAGAAAAATGTGACTTAATTTCTTTGATGATCCATTTTCTCATCTATAAAATGAGAATGTGTGTCTTATTCCTTCTCACTCCAAAAAGGATTTACTGAAGGTGACTAAGAAAAATATGAATAATCTACTAGGGTAAAATCAATAGTTGAAAAAAATCAGTGAAAGAGGAAATTAAGATGGGAAAAAAAAAATAAAACTAGGGAAACAGTTTATGCCAAAACAAACAAAAGAGCTTGTGCTCTGAGGTTCTATGAAGATGATATCGTTAGGTCAAAAATTATTCTGTGTGCTTCACAATATCTAAAGGAAAAAGGAAAACACAATTATGTATAAGATTCAGTGTCTTAAAATAAAAACACACCAGTTGCTCAGGAGAAGCAGAGGTATTCCTGAAATGTCTCTCGTTGGTCTTTGAAATGAGAACAGGTGAAACAGGAATGACAAAATCTTCTGTAGCTTCCTTACAATTCTTACAGATCTCCCAAAGTATGCCAGTGGCATTATGCAAGCTGTTAAGTATGAGTAGAACATGGAAGAATTGATGTAAATATAGTGTTATGGGGTGAAATTTTGCTCTGTTTGGAACCATTTTAAGGCAGTATTATTGAAAAAAGTATTTTTTAACTCATTTAAAACATAAATAATAGAATGAAATTTTATTATTTGTGCTTTATAGAATGGTAAATATGTATGTTAGATTTTGTAAAACAAAAGATGGTCCATTGTTATAAGTTACAGCCCTGTCCTCATTAATAAAAATATTATATATTTAAACTTTCTTTTTATTCTGTTTATTAAAAATTACAGTATATTATGATAGTGTTATTTTAAAAAGCAAGGCTCACATGTTATTTTTCTAGGATAGAAAACATGACCTTTTTTCGCTGCTACAAATTTTATTCTTAAAATAATTTTTTTAACATCATGCATAAAAAAATTTGCACTTTTTTCTTTAGACATCTCTTTGCATTCTTATTTGTTTTCTGTCACGTTTGACAAATTTAAAACACAAATAAGTGATAGCAAATGTCACCAGAGTTAAAATAGCGCTTCTGACTACCAACCAGTGATGTTTTGTAGTCTAGCAAAGCTTATAAATTAGGTGTTCTTGTAGGGTTCAGCTAGAGCAAATGAAAATAATTTATCAGAAAAACAAACAAAATCAAACCCTAAATCACTACAGTTTTTTATGATTAGAGAATCAATCAAAAGCTAAAAGTAACAAGTTTAACAGCATGATTGTGGATGTTTGACAATTAAGTAGTACATTCATTCTGAATGATTTATGGCTCTTATTTTATTGCAAACTTTTAATATCAGAACCTAACAAAATAGGAAATATAGCCCAATATGTTAAAAGGGAAAAACAGCTCACATCTCTCAAAAAGTAAAAACAGAAAAGTAATCAACATGGTGCAAATGTTTAAGTTTAAAATACTGGCTTAGGAAAACATATACTTGTTTTTAGGATTTATTTTGTTTATGTTAGATAACCAATGAGAAAGCACAATTTTAATGTCTAGTTGAAGTAAAGAACAATGAATGGATACCTCACTGACTTTATACACACACACACAATATGTTATCCAATATTTAGCATGCTTGGTAATACTGTGGATCATTCTTAGCAAATTATTAAGAAGGTTAATTAATGTTCTTAAAGTGGGAGCCAATAAACACTATTTTAGAAAAGAAAATGAGTGAACTGATTTTGATGAGAATGATAATAAAGAAGTTGATAATAGGGAAGTTATGGAAGTGAAAGTCCTGATAAGGGAATAATTATTTATCTTGTTTCATTTTAATTAATTGACCTATACTTTTATTGAAACCTTATGAGTAGAGGAAACATTGAAATGACAACTTAAAATTAATATCACGCATTAAAACTTACATTTATGAATAATTTTTTCCCAATGAATAATTACATAAAATTGCTTTAATGTTTTATATGGTGTTTGCTATTCTATTTACTATTTTTCCTGTCATTTCATATTTTTAAAGAAACTAATTTATGAAATTTTGAAATTTAAATCAATCAAACTGACAAATATTCTGGATTTCAGAAGTGAACAGAGACACCAAGGGGTTATTAATGATGGGCACGTAGAGCTTTCTGGGTAAAAAGCACTTTTCAAATAAGAGCCATTACAGTATATAATTCTTATGGTGGTTTCCCACAATTTTAAGTTCTTTTATTTTTAAAATACTTAAATCAGTAAATATGAAGACAAATGAACAGAGATGATGGGATTAAAATCTGTTTACAATGTATTTGGTTTTTATTTTTATGAAATAATGTCTGTTTTTGTACCCTGTTTAACTGACACTTTCATTTATTGCTGCTTATTATTTTCTTCATTCAGGTTATTTCACAGTTGAGGATCTTGGGCAGATCAGTAACAGCTGGTAGCAAATTTGATAGAGAAATCTGGTCTAATGAACTCTCTCCTGTCCTCAATCTATGGAAGAAACTAAACCAGGTTAGTAGTAGAATATTCTTTTGATTTTTTTTTCTTTTTTCTCCCTTTTATTTTTTCCAGCATCCTAAACCTATGTTCCCCACTTATACCTGATCCATACAAGTTATCACATTGCACAAAGTACGAAGTATGAAGTCATGGCCTTTGATCTCCTTTCTTTATATCAATCAATAAATATTGAAGTCAGTATTTTTTACCCACTCTTTGTTAAATCAATCTTTGCTTATCTTTAAATGAATAACCAAATTTACACAAAATTTCAGTTTCTCCTTTAGCAATTCATTCACTGTCTCAGTGTTTGGTAGTGTTCTCTTTCTTGAGACTCAGCTTCTTGTACCAATTTGTGAGCCCAATTTCCAACTCTTTTTTTAATGACATTGCCTGTTTTGAATTTTCTGAAGATTTCCAGGTCCATGCAATTCTTTAAAAGTGTACACATATACAACCACATTAATATGTATACTTTATGTATTATATGATAGCTGTTTATTCTGAGGAAAATAATGTACTATTATTTTCAGTCTGTACTTAGAGAATAAGATAGAAATTGAATGATTTGAATAATTGACTGTTTACTCCTTATTAAATAGCAAATTAATGGTAAAAGTAATACTAATTATTGTAAAGACCTCATCTTACATTTTAGAGACATAATCTAGGTATCTGTTGGAAACCTTCCTTCTCTCTGAAATCAGGGAGAACTTATTTGAGCCAATTTCCAGAGTTTGGGTGAGTTTGAACTCTACTTCGTAATTTTGTCACCTTGCTTCCTTATAACTTTCCTGTTTTTGCCTCTGAATTTTTACTGGCCATATTGTTTTTACCCCACATTAGATTTGGCCAGTCATGTGATTTTGTAGTTAATGAACATTTACGAAGTTGCAAGGAATAGCTCACATTGCTAAGTATATGGTCTACTAACTCGTTTCCTTTGGACTTACATTCTTTGAAATTCTGGCACTTCCTAAATTCTTGCAGTTCACTCTTCCCTCTGTGTGAAATTTCTTGGGATGTATATAGTTTAGTCTTCCTTTCTCTACTTGCTTCTGTTCATCAGGCCCATCTTATTTTTGTTGCTTGCCCTCTTCCCCAACTAATACACATACATAGTTTCTTTGTAATTCTGTTTTCTTTTTTTTCCTACATAAAGAGGATCACAGATGTGACTTCGAAGGCTTATATATAAATTATTTGCTTCCTTGCCCCAGGCTCTCCAGAGCCAGGGTGGTGGGGGGCCTTGGGCCTTGGCCACGCAGTACTGACAAGTGCAACCAGTGACGACCACCGAGCTGTAGCAAGAAGGGCCCCAGGTTCCCGAGCTGGGGTGGTGGGGAGCAAGGCCTTTTGCTACTACCCCCTGCCATCTGCACCCGGCCTAGCAATGACCAAGCCACCCCTGGAATCCCCCTGGTCTCTCCTTGGGAATGAGGGGGGTGCCACAGGCTTCAGTCCCACCCCTCATCCTTCCTCCTTTTTCCATCCCATTTCCTTCCCCTTTCTCCTCCCCCTCTCCCCTAAACTGCTCTGCAACAACATCATAGAATGTAAAAAATAATATTAATAAAAAAAGGAAAAAAATAAATTATTTGCTTCCTAAGACCCAACCCAAGTTAAGAAACTCAAATTAGTTCTCTGCCTTTCCCCAAACTCTTATTTGCAGTGTAGATATAGCCTATTATTTGTTCTCTGATGTTGGATTTTTGCTTCAACACATCCTCTCACTACCTCATTTCTACATACAGAGGAAAAAAGGTCGAGTACAATATCATAGGAATATTGAGGTGTGTAGGCAGGAGTACATAAGAAGATTATAGTATATGTTGCTGAAATATTTTATTTTAGTGGAAGCACCTCGAGAAAAGTTATTTGGATAAGCTCAGTAGATGCTCAGTAGATGACTAAATGAGTAGTCACTCTGAAAGGGCTGGGGACAGGAGAAGGAAACCAGGGATCCCAAGCTAAAACAAAGTATCAAAGGGAAGGATAAAAGTAGATTTTGGAGTAATTTGTGGACTGTTCATATGTGACTACTTTGACTTTTGTTGTTCCTACCGAAAATAGGTGTCCTTGGATTAAACCTGGGATCCACACTTTTTCAATTCATCCTCCACATTCTTCTTAATTATATTCTGAATCATGTAATTCACCTTTTTTGAAAACTCATTTGGTTACTTAGGAATAAAATAAAATACCAACTCCTTAATGTGGGCATTTGAGGTCTCATCCCAGGCTGGCTGTCTGTCTTCATTCTGACTTCTTTGTACCACATGTCTCATGTCTTTGCTATACTACAGTATTTGCTGTTTTGTTTGTTTTTAACATACCAGGTCCTTTTAAACATTCTTATTTGTTCTCGTGGTTCCCTCTGCATAGATTTACCTTCCTCTCTGTTTAGTTTGATAACTTTTTTTTTATAATCCTTAACAGTCTAACACAAATACTACTATTTCTCTGTGCTTTCCAGAGATATCCAGTACAAATCCTGTGGTAACAAAGATTAGTAAACCATCTCCGTGTCTTAAGAAGCTCACAAAAGGTTTAATGTGTAGGTTCACAGAAATAGTGTATATTAAAAAGATCACTTTAGATCTATTTGCTTTTCATCCTTATTTCATGAAGCCTCTTTTTAGTAATTTCTTGAGAAGTCCCCTTTCTTTGATTTCCAATTTAGTAGTTATTTCTTTATATGAAGCAACACAGGAGTTAAAGAGTTGCTAATGAAAAAGAATTGCTAATTAAAAAGATTATAATTTTCATTCCCAAGATAAACTGCTTGTTAAATATTGTTATATTTTCGATATAAAGAACACATTTTCATTTATTAGGATTATGAGATTATCTGTCATGCATTGCTTAACAATGGGAATCGTTCTGAGAAATGAGTCATGAGGCAATTTTGTTGTCATGAAAGTATATTATGAAAGGGAACATAATACAAGGGATAATAGGGAAATAGTTGTTGCTGAGTCTCTATGTGCCCACTTTCCACATCTGTTAAATAAAGATTTTGTAACCCCCTCAAAGTGAAGAAAATTAAATGACAGATAGGGATTGTGCCTGGCATTTAGTGAGTGTTAGCTAACTGTTAGTAACTATTATTTTGCTATGGGGATGGGTGGAAATCATTTAAAAATGCAAGAATTCTAAAGTAGACAACAACCCTTTTACTTGGGGTCAGGCCTAATGCATCAAATGCTTTGCTTTCTAAGCTAGGCACTCCTCCTCAACATATTCTGCAGTATATTTGTTCACACCAGCATCACCACAAAGACATCAGTAATGTGATTTGCTACATTACAACTACGAAGTCACTAGGCAATAGGAATTTTTCAGCTTCATTATAATCTTATAGGACCACTGTTGTATGTATGTGTGGTCTGCTGTTGACCAAAACGTTATGTAGTATGTGACTGCATGAGGGTACTTCAAGAAGTTTGTGGAAAAATAGTATTAAAAGATAATACGAATCTTCCCATAAACTTTTTGAAGTACCCTTGTATAATGTCATTATTAGGACATAACTATTTTTTCTGTCTGTGGATCAGGCAGAAACTGGATCAGGTAAATCCAGTTTGTTAAATCCAGTTTGTTAAATTTCCCACTAAATGAACTATTTATATGCTCTTGGAGTTGGCTATTTCTCTTCTGGTGAAAAGGTTGAAGAGAGTTTGAGCAGTTTAACTAAGGCTGATGTGCAGCTGCTTTTTTATGCCCTCAGCCATCCCATTAGGTTATAGCCAGCCTCTGTGCTGAATGGATGGTTCTTGTGTCTGCTCCTAAGGACCTTGCAGCTGAATGTTTTGAATTCTCTTCACTGATCTAATCTAATGAGAAGAATATGGCTTCTAGAGCCAGACTGATGGGGTTCAATTACTCAACTTCTCTGTGCATCTGTTCTCTTGTCTGTAAACTAGGCATGATAGTACTTGCCTCATAGGGTCTCATGGGGATTAAATGAATTAACATATATTTAACTTTTTAAATAGTGCGTGGTATATGTAAGCACTCTATTTTAGCTATTCATTTTACTTTTATTAAAGGTGCTTTTATTATAAATGGTCATTTATAATATATGACCATTACTTCATTTGCCCCTTTCCTAAGCAAATTACTTTATTATTCATATAAGTACATTATTATTCAATCATTTATTCAAAATATTTTAATTTGGCACCTAGTTTGTTTCAGTGGTTTTATGCTAGAGACTATATATACTTGTGGACAGAACAGTCATGGTACATACCCCGTGGAGTTTACAGTTAGTTTGTAAGAGACATATTAAAAATGAAGCAGATAAATAAGCAAATAAATATTTTTATTAAAAATTACTGCAGATGTTGTGAAAGGAAAGCACAGATGCTGTTAGAAAGAATAAAAGAGAAGACCTATTTTGGGATGGATACTTAGGGAGTATCTTCCCTGAGAAGTAAAATTGAATCTGAGATGTGAGCAATGAGAAGAAGCTAACCAGACAAAGTTGGAGGGGAAGCATTCGTGCCTATTCTAAGCATGCACACATTCCCTGAGAAGAGAAAAGGCTTGGCATGTTCACTAAAACTGAAAGTAAGTGTGGTTGGAGTATAGAGACTAAAGGATAGGGCCGACCCCGTGGCGCACTCAGGAGAGTGCGGCGCTTGGGTGTGCAGCAGCGCTCCCACCGCGGGTTCGGATCCTATATAGGACTGGCCGGTGTGCTCACTGGCTGAGCGCGGTGCGAGTGACACCACACCAAGGGTTTCGATCCCCTTACTGGTCACAAAAAAAAAAAGAGACTAAAGGATAGAGTGGAATGAGGTAAGGCGTATGCTATAGGCTGAATGTTTGTGTCCCCAACATTCAAATGTTGAAATCCTAGCTGCCAAAGTGATGGTATTCAGAGGTGGGGCCTTTAAAAGTGATTAGTTCATGAGGATGGAGCCTTCATGAGGGGCTACTGCCCTTATAAAAGAGGCCCCAGAGAGATCTCTCATCTCTTCTTCCATGTGAGGCCACAGCAAAAA